AACCACGGCCCCGCAATTGAGGTTTGGACCCCACTCCCGCCACCATCTGGGGAGGTGGAGGTAGCTTTACCTGTGTTCCGGCCGGTGGTCTGCAGTGTGCCAGGCTGGCTGCTTCCAGTCCACAATTGTGCCCCCCGAGACTTGGGAGGCACCAGTCACCTCTGTTTTACCCTGTTGTTCTTACTGGATGCTTTTCCAGAACCTCACCCCTCTGATGGTAAGAAAACTGCTACTTGTTATCAGCCTGATTTTTTTCATGACTGGGTTATACCCATTTTTTGTGCCACACTTTTCTTTGCGTAAACAGTTCTCTGATGTTTATCTCTTGATGTATTTGTGGAAAGAAATCTTACCTCCTCTCTGCCTTCATTTTGCTGAGCAAACAAGGCTTGCAAGTTCTCAGAGGATGCACTCTATTGGTCATCTACACTTTTTCCAGTTTAAGTTAATCTTTCCTGAAGATGGGTGACCAGAATTGTAAACAGTTTTCCATATGAAATCTTGTGGGTGCCTTGTAAAATGGCGTTATATTTTTCTATCTATACTGGAAATACTTTGCCTAATACATACTGCTATGGGAGCACAGAAGGGGATGAATTAAGGATGAAGACTCGGCTTGCTTTTTGTTGATTCATTCAAACCTTAAGATCAAGTGAAAACTGTGTGCATCTGTCTTCCTATAGTACTTATTTGGCCCTCATCAATTTAGTATCTAAGCATGTCATAATGTGCCTTTTTGATGGTTCCATCACACTGATGGCTCCTACTATTCCTGTAGTTGACTATATACCAGAAGTTCTTGCTTTTAATCCCTATGTTGCCTTGTACTTGGTACTATAAATGTTTAGCCTGTTCCTATTACTACAGCATTCTGGGATATCCCATTCTCTCTATATAATATAGTAACTCACTCACTTTGCTAATTTTATTGGATGCTCCCAGTGTTAAATAAGATTGGTCCCAAGGCCAATCCTTGAAAATCTCCACTAATCTCCCTCCAGCCTGTTAGTCCCCTTTCCATACAGATCATCGTGTTCTCTTCAGATGATTCCTTATTCTCCATAACATTTTTGTATTAGTTTCCAGAACCTGCACTTGTGTGACTGACTTTGTTCTCATTGAAGTACTCCTCACTTGAGGATCAGGCCGTCAGAACTAATCCCTCCCAAATTTTGATACCAAAAGTAGAAGATCCAATTTTCCAGAGGGGAAGGTGGGATCAGTCATTAGAGCACTAGTCAAGACTCTGGGAGATCCAGGCCTACCCTGCCAGAAATATCTCTTGTGATCTGGCCAAGTCGGTTAGCCTCACTGAATCACCGTTACTGATTTGTGAGGAATAATAGTACTGCCATGCCTCACTGGGAAGACGGTGTAAACAAAGTAAAAATTATGACATGCTCAGATACGACATTGGTGAAGGCCAAATAAGTACTAAAGGTAGACTGCTATTCACTGGTTTCACCTGATCTTAAGATTTGAGCAGACCAGAAAACAGTAGGAAATGTCAAACTCAGGCTGAATTTTCATCCTTAATTTATCCTTCCTCACTCCTGTAGCAGCATGAACTAAGGCCAGCATTATACATTAAATCATGTAATTTCATTACCACCTTAATATCTGACATTTGTGTTCTTTCATTTCTGAGCCTCAGTGCTTCAGCTATGCTAATAGACAGCCCCTCTGATGATTGGTTACAGGAAACAGATGCAGCTATATTTATTAGCTATAGAAATAATGTCTATAATTAAATTTGCCCTTTGCTTTAAAACTTGCAAAGCAGCAAACAATTTTTCGTGTAGCATTTGTATGTGGTTTTTTTAATACTTTAACAAATGCTTGTGAATAACCACACACTTGCTACAAAATTAGAAATGTTCATTGCGTTTGAGCACAACTTCCTTCACACAGTGGATTGGTTAAATGCTTTTTCCCCATCTCTTTACACCTGCATTTTCATCAAATCAAAAATTAGTTTTGATAGTACCCTTTTCTGATCTGTTTTAGAAGAGCTTTACTAGACCAGGGGTGGGCATTTCTTCAGACTGGAGGGCCACTTCAGAAGTTTTGGTGAGCTGTTGAGCTGGGAAGGGGGTGCTGACACAGCTTTGGCACCCGGTCATGGATGTTTACACTGCACAGCTCAGGGCTGGGGGGCTGGGAGATGCCAATAAATCCTATCCTATCCAGGCTTGGGCATGTCCACCATGCATCCACCACTGGGGGTGCTGGACAGAGCAGGTGGGTGCAGTCTCCATGGAGACTGGCCCAGCATCCTGCCTCCCCCATCCATGGGCAGGGGGCGCTCAGCTGGGCAGATGGGATGGGGCTGCGGGTGGGTGGGGAGTGGTGTCCGGGAGCGGGACAGGTGGATAGGGCTGTGGTCAGGGCTAGGATTAGGGGGTAATGACAGCCTGGGGGCCCAGGGTAGAGCCATGATCTGCTCCCTGCGGAACTGGCACCCACCATAGGGACAGGCAGCCTACAAAACCAGTGTCTGCCCCAGGGACATGTGAACAGCAGATCATGCTATCAGTTGAACAGGACCAGCCGTACATGCCACAGCCCCTAGACTTGGGCTGGGCAGGTCCAAGGGACATGCTGTGGGCTGGGTAGAATCATTTGAGCCACATCCAGCCCATGAGCCATATTTTGCCCACCCCCGTATTAGACCCAGAGGGAGTAATAACAGGGAGAGATTTTTGCATTTAAACAATCAGCATTTATAACCATTACAATCCCATGCTCCCAGAATTATTGTTTGTTTCAACCCGTTCCATCTACTTTTCTGCATTTCCTAGCTTATTCCAAAACAGCACACGTCGTTTCAGTCCCATTCAGTACAAGAACACTTACCTTTATGTAGCACTACCAGATTGGAACAGAAAACTGCTTCACAGGTTACAGGAGTCCCCAAGCAGCACACAAGTGACTGATAATACAACCACCAAAGTCTGGGAAGTGAAGAGTAAGTTACCCAGTTGAAGCTACAGGGAGGGAAGGTTGGCGAATAATATGTAATTATCCAAGATAGCCCAGGGCTCCCACCTACTGCTAACACCTGTACTTTGGCAAGTACATTGAAATGGAATGTAGTGTTACAAGTTTGCTTCAGAGTTGCTCCCTGAATCATTTTTAGTGGCCCATATGTTTTATTTTGAATTAACATAAGAACAAGTTTAAGTTAATTGGGTGCTTCTTTGCTTCTTTTTTTAAGTACATATAGCTTCAGAGAGGCTACCCCAAATCTAAGAGACCTGCGGAAGTGTACTTCATTCCTGAAAGTTTGTCTGTATACCTCCCAACTATATAGCTGGTCCAATAAACAATAATACCCACAAAAATCCTTGCTCCTAACCCAGGTTTATTGTTTTCTAATGTGGCCTATAATTTTTTTAAACTATAAGAAAAGATTTTGCTGGCTGTTGGCTAAACCCACGACACTTCCCCTTGTCAAGTCTGGAAATAAACTAGAATTTTTTGGCGATTCTGAGGTTGAGGGTTTTGCAGCTGATGTTCAGATTGCTACGGTCCCTTCTCCTAGGAGTCAGCAGATTCATGGAAACATCTTGAAGGGGATGGGGGCAGTGGCCTGTCTTACTCCACTTTCCTTTCTAAAACTAACCATCATGGTGGGGAGGGAAGTTGAAAAGAGATGTGAGCCAGTGTACAGATGGTATCTTTATTGAAGTCAGTGATATATTTGATGACTTTCCATCTGTCTGGAAATGGTCAGGTTTTTTGAATTAGGTAATAAGGAGACCTGAGCAAAACAGGCTGCGTCTACATGAGACGCAGACTGTGTAGCCATTACTGGGCACTCATTTAGTACTTTTTATAAACAAGTACTAAATGACTGCACAGCTACCTGAGTTAGTGCCCAATAGCACTGATGAACGGCTTATTTGTGACAGTGACTGTGCAGTAGCCCAAGACTACTGCGCAGTAGCATTGCATCATGGTTTCTACCAAAGGATGCTACTGTGCAGTAGCCTTGGGCTACTGTGCAGTCAGTGTCTTGTGTAGACATGGCCACAGTAACTATAAGGTTATATCCAGGATTTTCTGTATGATTGTATTTATTGATGAACTGCACTTTTTATGCAGTTTTCCTTGCCCCATTCACTTAAATTGCCTGTAATCTCTAGGCAGAAAGACATCTGCTTCCACCAAAGGGAAAGACAATTCCAGCAGGGTGAGAGGGAGAGAAACTTATGTGTAGGCATGTCCCCTACCAGGAGGCTAGCTCTGTTCTCCAAACTTATTGGTATTTAGTCTCTTGCCTCCCTGATGATCAATTATTTATTGATCAGGAGCAATGTTTTACCATTTTTGCTTGGTAATGTGACTTGTGGGCTTGATGTATGCCCACTGTTTGAAAGTTACTTCTAACCTCCATTAAGTATTCTGCCATAAAAAGGGCTGCTTTAACTTACTGATAGGGTTCGTGTTCAGTCCCTGTTAGATGAGAATAGCAAATAATCACGGATGACCTGTTGATATAAACTGGCCACCCATAGGCCCCATACAAGAGCAGAGGCTATGGACATTTTGCTGTTGCCACCCTCTTGAAAGAACTTCCCATTGCCTGGAGCCCCACTGAATAGAGTGCTGTAGACTGGTGACGCTCACTGTAACTTCCCCGTGGCCAGTATATTGCTCCTAAACAATAAGCCCATTTCCTCTAAATAACTTTTAAAGGAGTCACTCAACTTGCTGTTCACCTGTCTTCTGCAAGGTGATCTCTCATCCTCTAGAAAAATCATGGTACTTAGTAATTTCAAAGTTACCTCAGATTAAGCAGGAACTATTCACCTAAGTGGGGTGTATTCAGTGCTGATATGTTAATGCTATTGATGATTCAGCAGGTTCAGATAAGCCTTTGAATTTTCAGCGCTCTTAAATTACTTTTGTAAGAAAAGACAGATGATTACAAGTCTATGCATGCTTGTAAGCATCTGATCCTCCTTCTTATTCATGTTTTCATCATCTTCTTTTCAATGACATTAATTATGGCAAGAGATTGTATCACCCATTACTCTACCAAAGGAGGGAAGAAGAAATAATTTTCCCGAAAATCTGGATCTGTCTCTAAATTTAACTTAGGGGGATGTAGGAAGAGTAATGCTCTATCATTTGAATCATGAGAAGATGCTCATTTTTCGCCATTCTTGCTTTCTGCAAACAACTATTTATTACTGTCCCTGTAATTGAAGCCAGCAGACAATTTCACACAATCAGCAATTGCTTTGTTTTTTTCCAGCAACAAAGCTACCCATAGCTTCTTGGGACTAGAGATGTTTATACATTTTCTTTGCAGCTTTTTGCATGTTCTTGCTTTGTGACAGCATGATTCTGATATAAGTGCTGGTGAAAATCAGGAATGGCTCTGCTGAGGTGAGTAAAATGACACTGATGTAAGTGTGAGGGAAGTCAGGCCCTCTGAGAGTGACTCTGAGCTGGGGGTTTCAAATTAATCCAGAACCCAACTGTAACCTTCCCCAATCTCAACATAAACCATAAATAACAGAAGAACTATTTGTAGAACAATACGTTTTCTGGAGGGAGTTGGAGGAGGGTGAACTCTAGGGAATAGACATTGGCTTCAGCGGAGACCCCTATACCAAACCCTCACATGATAGAAAATGGGATATGTTCCACCTATCACTGAGATGATCATATTAGAACTACAGTGCTCGTATGGCCAAGTTCTTTCAAAGCCACTCAGATAGCATTTAGAGGCAGGACCCTGGGTAGGGTTTATGCAGCACTTGCATTCAAGGGAGGTAGTGCTCTCCCCTACCCTGGGGGTCTTCAAGAGGAGGTTAGATAAGCATCTGGCTGGGGTCATCTGAACTCAGCACTCTTTCCTGCAGGGGGTTGGACTTGATGATCTATTGAGGTCCCTTCCGACCCTAACATCTATGAATCTACGAATAAAATCAGAGAATCTGGCATATCTGAGGAAGCAGTGAAGAAACTGTGCCAGCTGCTATAAAACATGGACAAAAGGCATCTGAAGGGGTTTGGACCAGTACCTCAGCTAACCAGGACCGTGCTATGATAAAACTAAACCATGAGACTTCTTCTAAGTTTTTAATAATGATTTTACAAATAGTTACAATGTATGTGCTTGCCGGGGGAATGCTGAGAGAGAGACCGAGACCTAGTGCAGGCTGTGTGTACATAAATATTTATACCCTAAACATGTGTTACAGATATTTGTATTTTGAAATGCTAAGGTTAATAGTCTTCGTGCAGTGTGCCCACAGAGCATCCTCTGTTTCAGAGCAATTATAAAGGCCTAAGTCTGTCTGTCCATAATGCTTTATTTGTGCTCTGATTGGTTGACAAACAGCCAATCAGAGTGTGAACAAGCATTCCAACAGGAGCTGGCGGCCAGTGGAGTGTCGCCATGATGGTGGGGGTGAGGTGGGGGGGCAGTGAAGCCAGCGCATCAGGCCTTGCCCCCAGCCCCTGCCCTGCTCCCTGGAGGTGGGGGCAATGGAGCAGACGGAACAGGAGGGGCGAGGCCAGAGCTGCTATCCTCACCCCCCCACCTGCTCCCTGCAGGTGGCAAGGATGGAGCAGAGCTGGGGGCTTGAGGCCACTGGAGCTGGCCTCACCCCCGCCCTTACTCCTTGCAGCTGATGGCAGTGGCATGGTGGGGAGTGGGGTTGAGACATCAAGGGGGGGGGCAGGCCATGGCTCTGGCC